ATAAATTTTGAAGGGAAAAAGGTGGGAACATGGGAGATTTCAGGGAAACGGTAGGTGGGATGCAGGATAGGGAAGGAAGGGGGGGGGTTGCACCAGAGGAGTAAATCTTCGAAGATCGTGGTTCGCAAAATTTTTCCTCAACGATAGGACGTCCATTGAACAGGGCACACCATTGGTTGGGGGTTTTGGTCGAGTTCGTAAGACCCCTCCCTTTTCAGGGAACTGGTACGAAGAAGACGAACTAAAAACGACCCCCTCCCAACAAACAACGAGCAAGTGCGACCCCCACCCCTTTTACAACGTCCGTGAAGCGAGAAAAATCAATCTACCAAAAAAATTTTCTCAGCCCAAATACGACCCTCCTGTTGGGGATTCCCCAACAACGATGTGCCCTGCCTCTGAATGGGAAGATCGATGTGCACCAAGAGCGACGTGAATTCCTCCTCTTGAATAATAGTTGAAACGGTAACTAATCGTCTAGCTGCAGGAAATCTCCTGGGCTAAGGTATTTGGAGCAGGGCGGACGGCGACACAAGACCGCGGTGACTCCGACAACCTGTACCTGGGGGAAGAAAGGGGTTGCAGCCACAAGGAGATTAGCGTAGATGATCAGACTGACTATGGTCGCATTATTTCCGGAGCGTTGCCCCTCCAACTACGTAAGCGCTCAACATTCAACTGGAGTGAACTCGAACGTACAGAAACTGGGCTTGTATGATAGACTTTTAGGATTCACAGGAAGGCTTTGGTGAGCTCTCCCACATAAAATATGCTTCTTATGCCTACTGAATCATTGGCATGTCTGTGTTCACGTCCATCCAATTCATTATTATATTGTGGTTAATGCTAACAATGGAATGATCAGATTATAGACATAGGTTTTTATAGGTTATCAGAGGAAGAACTCGAGAAAAGTCCGATGTCATACCGCGATTCACTTCGTATCTACCGCAGTCGCTCAGTCGATCTCGGCTTTTTGTCTAGGTATGTATTGATCACTATTAGTTATTTTCCTTATAATCTTTACTTTACATATAAAGACCACAGCTTCACCCAACGAGCGGTGAAGATTTCGCTCATGCACGGAGCTAACACATGACGCTCAAAATTTTTGGAAAACAGCGTACGTGCAGTATAGTTCTGTCAGGGATGTCTCAAAACACGTCTGTCTCAACTAAGCGACGCCAGTGACACGTCTTACTACGAACCTATGCCACATCGCAGCCCGGAAAACTCGTTATTCGCTGAACTGTAGAAAACTAAGTCGGCAATAGGCCAGAGAGTCCAAATCATTGGAGCGTGTTGGCCACTGGTCGCCTTGTCGCTGCGCGGCAACAATAATGCCGTTGCGACGCGTACCTCATGCGCGCAAGCGGTGAGTTTTTTCCTCCTCCGCTTCACAAAAGAAACACTTCGACTGGTGCCAATAGGGCTAGTCCAGGACATCCGAGTTGCGACGAGGACGGCGAAGGGACAGTCAAATGGTGGAATTATGGGTGTGCAGATATTGTTGGGCGGGTATACGGTAAGTTTACTGTAGAATAGGGCGGAGCCTATCTCGCCCTTTTAATTATCGCCTGGGGTGTGACCTCATTAAGTTGCATGCGGCGACTGCTGTCTCGCCTGGGGTGTGACCTCATTAAGTTGCATGAGGCGACTGCTGACCTCAGCGGCTCTAATGCGAATACAATATCGAGTTGAACGATTAAATGAAACACTTTATTACGTCTTAATATTATTATAATTATCGTTATTATTAGGTTGTCCGGAAAGTTCTCAGCGTTTTGGGTGTTTCACTTTAAACGATCGTAACTTTTTTAATACTCATCGGATTTAATCGAAATAGGCACCATTCGAATCAGCACACTTTTGCCAATGTGACAGTGATCCCATCAAAGTAAAAAACTGGGTGGTCGAAAATTCACGAAATTAAGGCTTTTTTGCCTAGTCCTGATCTCAGTAGCACATTCTGTAGAGAATTTCTTGCGCTATCTGATGGTATAATTGCCGTTTCACCATTGCTTGATAAACCCCCTTTTTTCAAGATTTTTTCAAGCATGTGAAAAGAGCACTTCGGACGATTTTTTTCTTCGACTATAAATTGGGGCAATCCGCAATCGAAACAGCTCAACAAATTAACCAGGTGTGGGGGCCCAATAGTGCTAGAGAAAGGCAATGGCTCAACAAATTTCGTTCTGGAGATTTCAGCCTTGAAGATGAACCTCATAGCGGTCGACCTAAAGCAATATCTGACGAGGATTTTAGGGGGATTTTGGAGGCTGACCCATCCCAAACAGTTCGAGAGATTGCAGAAAAGCTAGGCGTTGGCAAATCCACTGTTGCAGATGGTCTGGAACGCATTGGGAAGGTGAAAAAACTCGACAATTGGGTGCCCCACAATCGGAGTGACCGGCAGGAATCGGCACGTCTCGAGGTTCCTTCTGCATTGCTTTTGCGCAGCAGAAACGACCTTTTTGGGCCGAATTGTCACCTGTGATGAAAGATGGGTCATGTATGATAACAGGAGACGTCCGGACAGTGGTTGGCGACTCGACGAAAGCCCACGAGCGTAAATGGTTTTTCAAAGCTTGAACCCGCTGAAAAAAAGATTCTGGTCACGGCTTGGTGGTCATCGGCTGGTGTGATCCACTATAACTTTTTATCACCAGGCCAAACCATCACAGCAGAACCCTACTGTGAAGAAATCGACGAATTGTACCGAAAATTTTGTCAGATGCAGCCAACACTTATCAAAAAAAGGGTCCGATTCCTTTGGCATGACAACGCCCTGGGAGTTGAAGATCTACCTCAACCGCCATATTCTTCAGACCTTTCGCCAACCAACCGACTACCACCTTTTTTAACATTTTCAGAACTCCCTTGCTGGAAAATGCTTCAGCAATCAGGACCAGGCGAAAAAAGCCTTAGTGGATTTCGTGAATTTTCGACCACCCAGTTTTTTACTTTGATGGGATTTCTCGACTGCTGTCACATTGGCAAAAGTGTGCTGATTCGAATGGTGCCTATTTCGATTAAATCCGATGAGTATTAAAAAAGTTACGATCGTTTAAATTGAAACACCCAAAACGCTGAGAACTTTCCGGACAACCTAATAATAAATCGATAGATTATAATAATTTTTTAAGACTGTAATTTAAGTGTTTCATTCTTTAGTTCAACTCAGATACTGTATCTTGTATTAGAGCGCGGTGCAGCAGTGCTCATGCCAACTGTTGTGACGGTCACACCCCAGGCGAGACAGCAGTCCGCCGCATGCAACGCTTAATGAGTCACACCCCAGGGATAATAAAAGGCGGGTAAGCTCCGCCCACTCTACAGTAACCTTACCGTATGCCCGTCCAACAATGTCTCCACACCCCTGGAAACTCGCAGGTAACACTAAAATGTCACAGCAAAGAACGAGGAAAATTCCTCGAAAAGAAGTTGTTTGAATGTATTCAAGCATGGCACATAAACTACAATTATGGAGCTTCACAACGTTCTTCTCTCCCTTCAGAAGCTCACTCGCAAAAGTGATGGTGTTTAAAGGGGGTACGTTCTAAGCCCCTACCCTGCAATGAACACGGCAGCAAACTAGCCGCGGTAGCAGGAAAAGCCCAGGTTGTGTCTGATAATCACTAGGAATCGTGCCTTCCTTGCGCCAGTAATGAAATTGCGTGCCCGAGTAATCGTATGCGGGCTGCAACATGCCAAAAAACTGGTGCTACTATGGCTCAATGTGGGACTGCTAATATAGATAACTATTTCGCGTGCGATGCGCTCCTTGGATGCAGGCGAACCCCCCCCCCCCCCCCCCCCCCCCCCCCCCCCCCCCCCCCCCCCCCCCCCCCCCCCCCCCCCCCCCCCCCCCCCCCCCCCCCCCCCCCCCCCCGGTGAGAAGACCAAGTTGCTTACTCGAAGTTGGTCTGATACTGCGACACTTGCAGAGACCTGCCAACACTTTGTTTCCTACTAACCATAAAGTGCTTGGGAAGATTTAGTAGAGCTACTCTTCCTCTAATCGAATGAATTCGGATGCTTTTCAATGTGCGTCATGCGCATTATTAACAATGACAGAGAAAAGGCACACTGGCACATGTACCATTACTTTGTGGGCAACCTGTCAGATCTGAAGATAAAGGAACGAGTTCAATAAAATAAGACGAGGCCATTCTCCGGCTGTTCCTACTAATAGCCACGCGAGAAGGGGATTTCTAGCAGTGGGTGTTTCGGCTAAACTGGACTACCACTATGCCAAAATTTTGATAAAATTTCCGCTGAAACTTTGCTTACAGAGACTGTTATGGGCTCAACGACATTGTCGTCAAAAAATGAGTGCAGCCTTGCTGATGAGGAGACCAAGCAACCCTAACGGCAAACCTTCTATCGATTTCCATAGAAAGGCTTGCGGCTTTCTCATGGCACTATTGGCGCCATTTGGCGCCTTAGCGGCGCCTGAGAATGCGAAGGCAGCGATAAATGCGCTGAGTAAACAAAAGAATGCCATACACGTGAACACCGAATTACTTAATTCGCTAAGCCACCACGACAAACAAAGTTTCAGCAGAGAAAGCCAGCTTTTGGGGTAACAAAGTAGTGCCGAGCCATTTGTTGGAATTAAACTTCCCATGAACTTTCGCCCAACACAGTGGAACTAGAATACACTG